TTCAGCTATGAACAATGATCAATGATATAATACAGGTACAAAGCGATGGCTTTAAAAGTCCCGTAGGATGGCTGCAGTGAAAGTAAACACAGGTGTAAATAGTCAATTTAAGCGTCTAGTGAATTCAAGTGCCCGTTATTCATATAAACACTTTGGAATGTGTACTGAATTGTTACTGTACGGTACTATGGGAAGTAATATGGGGAAGGTATTTCTTAAGAACAAAAGAAACGACAACGTTTACTGGTGCGTCGCTTAGTTGCACTGAGGTACTTGATGAATGCAGTTGTAACCTATCCGAAACTATATTCCACAGCAGCAGTATGTTAGTAGTGACACACAAAAGCTGTGAATAAGCACCGTTTTTTCTCTTTTGGTTGACGTAGACATCTCTGATTATATAGCGTAATGTATGTGGATAAGCGAATTATCAAAAAGTCTTTTGAATACCGTTAGCGTGGGAAAAGAAACAACGTATGTGGGAAGAGCTTTCCACTGTCGGCACACACGAAGGGAAATGAAAATCCGGCTGCATTCCAACTGGCTGTATTGTTTGTCCAGCTTTAGCTGGTGTCCCCTAAGTGTTGTATTGCGACTCCTCTTTAGTAGGTGACGACAAAAATGGCTCGGATTCATCAAGATTATATAAGTCATTATCAAGGAGCCACGCAGGCGTCGATATTGTCCACTGTTGATCCCGTTAACGGCGATGAAACAGACCCTTTACGTTCTTGTCCGCACTTCGATGTGGCGGTAAGGTCTTGATTTTGCCATGGCTGCCAGGCGTGGATGGCGTACTCAAAATGGGGCGGAATGTAGGCGCTGAGCATCTGCGGAAATATGGAAATATCGAAGCGCCCGAAGGCCCTCCGCAAAAGGCCAAGGTGTTGGTTAGCTTTTTGGAGGCTTTCTCAGCCTGACGGGAACAGCCCAGAGCTTCCTGCACCATCACTCCTAGATAGCATTCTGTTGAAGGGCGCTGCAATATTTGATCCCCCAGTCTGCATTCGTAAGTGGCTTTATGGCGTATACTCAACACCTTGCACTTTGTAGCGTTGAACTGAAGCAGGTTCTGAGTCGACCATTCGTAGACCTTGTTAAGACCATCCTGAAGTGCTGCATTGTCACTGGTTGTTCTAATGGCTCGTCATATCTTGAGATCATCAGGGAAGACTAATAAGTTGGAGGTGATTACTGTCGCGAGATCCTTTATGTAAATCAGGAATAGTGGTGGACCAAGCACTGAGCCCTGGGGCACTCCGCGTTTAACGTGGATTGGGTCAGAGATGACGCCGCGAACTCTTACAATCAGATGTCATTGGTTTAGGTGCAGTTCTGTCCCAGTTGTACAACGGCCAACTCAATGCGCTCGCGTACACATCCAGTACCTTGTTATATACTTGAAGAAATGAAGCTACCGGTGAGAAGGAGTATATTGAATTAGTCCGGCCGTGTGAGAAATCACATTTTTACCTATTTTGACGACCATACATTTTGCGCACCGATCATTCTGCTCTATCTACGCAACTAAGTTTATGTACCAATATCCAAAAACCGGTATGCTTAAGTTACCGGTGCTCGCGTTCATTAAACTACGCTTATACAATAAAATACATGTCAGGTGCATTAACAAACTTGCTCAGTAAGATAACTATTGCTTGCGAAGAAGGTTCTTTTCGATAATTCACTTCAGGCACCTACAATTAGGAAACATAACTATTAGTTGGATGGGCTAGTGAAAGCGGAAGCAGAACATTAGGCAGCTTAATAAAACAGGCAGTATAAATGATCAATCAAAGGTTTGTTCAATTGGACTAGATCTCATACGAAAACACACGTGACCATGGCTGGCTAAGTAATTTTGAAAAGAGTTTAAGCAATTTTAACAAGGGATTCCACGCCAGGGCAAAGTCAGGGTTTGAACGAGCATTCACTGTGTGCACAGCTCTGGTTTCAGGACACTACTTGCATTGGCTTCGACGATTACAAATAGGTGTTTGTTTGAAATAATTCAGTAGGGTCCCGAGATGGAATAGATGATTTTTAAAAATTCACTGATCCGCACTTAGCGTCCTATTGCTACTAGATGTTGTATAAGAAAACTGGTGATTTTTTTCACTGTGCCTTTTTGTCGTGAGTCGCGCATTGTCCGGCTTCATCACGACAAAGCACAGTTGAAATCATCAATAGTTTTATTCTACAACAACCAGTAGAAACTAGACAAGAACTGCGGATAAATGCCGCTTTTAAATTCATCTATTCCACCTCGAGATCTTATGCAATTATTTTAAAGAATCACTTATTGGTAATCGCCGAAGCCATTGCAAGTAGTGTCCTGAAACCAGAGCCGTGCAAACAGCGAATGCAGGTAAATACTCTGACTTTGCCCTGGCCTTGAAGCACTTTGTCAAAATTGCTTAAACTCTTTTAAAGATTACTTACCCAGCCATGGCCATGTGTGTTTTCGTATGGGGCCTAGTCCAATTTATCAAAAATTCGATTGGTCATTTATAATGATTCTTTTTATTAAGCTGCCTAATATTCTGCTTTCGCTTTCACTAGCGTATCCAACTAATACTTACCTAACCTAATTGTAGGTGCCCGAAGTGAATCATCAAGAAGAATATTCTTCGGAAAGTATTGTTAACCTCTTAGTCTTGGGAATAAGTATTCAAATTGCATATGTCTTGTCGAGACTTCCACTATCCAACGAAAGGGGAAACAAGGACTCAGAGAAGGTAAACTTAATGTCGCATCTTAGAAGGAACTTCTATTACTATAACACGACTAGGTACTGGAGCTTACTGACAGATACCCTATCCTAGCGATACTTCGGGAGTACATCTCGACTTAATGGCCTGGTCGTACTGATATCCAACGTGAGTTAATTCCATACTATATTTGTGGTACATGCTGTCTACTGTGACTACTGCATTACTAGAGGCAAGTAGTTTGTTGTCCCTACAATCCTTATTCCTCTGCTGGTTGAATCTGTGCATAAGGGTCATCCAGGGATCGCGCAATCAAAAACCTGAATATGCAAATACTATCCATGGCCGAAGTTGAATTCCATCATCGAGGCGGTTATTTTGGTATGTTACACCTACAAGCAATCCGATAACAGTGGTCACTGAATGCACTCATCCAACCTATCGCGTACCCAGTGAAACCATGGGCAAAATAATGCCATCAAAATTATGGACGTGGTTGCCAAGGCACCTCCACAGAAGTGAAATGTGTTACTTGCTACCTGTTGCTACAGGACATTGCTAGAGGCTATTCCGTGTGGGGACATGATTTGTTTGCAAACAATGGATTGCAAAAAGAGTAAGTCATTGAAAATAGCCCAGTTTCGAAGTAAGGAGTACTACGAATTCCTACGGCGCAATGATATCAGACACTCAACGACTGTATCTTTTAATCCTGTCGCGAAACGGCTTGCCGAACGACTTAATCGTGCTTTGTGGACATCTACAAAAGCCCTTTAGACATTGGTAGAATCTTAGGCTGATACATTGGTATATTTCTTTGAGGTATACTGAACCACTACACATACCGCAATGACAGGAAAGTCCTCAGAGATAGTGCTGGGGCGAACAATACGAATGCGATAAAAAGGCGCCTTTACATCTGACGAAAGCGCCGACCAGAGAGAATAGGAAAGACAGGCTGTTTACCAAGCTAATTATAGACGCGTCGGAAGAAACTATCCCATGCAATATCTCGTAGATGTGAGGCTATCCAATTTCCGGAAAGGAAGTGAGTTGCTCGGACCCCCGAGCAGTGTGTCTGTGGGCACGCCAGGATAGTACAAGTTGGTTGATGGAACAAGGGTACATGCAAGACGGCTGCATACTGCACTTTCCGAACGGGCTGTTGAAGAGGCAAACACATGTACAACAAAGCACTTGATACAAACAAAAATAAACCTGCGACGACCAGACCGGATACGTCGCCATGTCTATCGATGTGCCTTAATAAGTTACACCGCATTATAATTCTTCGGGGTGCAATCGTTAAAATAGTTTCTCCATGCACACATACTGCTTATACTTTTCAAACAGAGGAGGGAACAATGTCGTGTCTACTTAAATTTTTTTATTTTTATCTGTTCGTTTTCACCGCCCCCGCCACCTACATAAGATCCATTGAAGCAGCCCTATGCTCCAGCCTCGGCTTAGTTGCACCTGTACACTCCTATCAATTTAATCTAACTATACCATTTCCGAGGCAAGTTAGTTAATAGAGGAAGCAAATTGTTTCGTAAGCATTTTCAACTTGGTTCATAAGCATTTCCAACTTGGTTCATAAGCAGTTTCAAGTTGGTGCGTTTCAAAGTTTGGCTAAGATGCACACACGCACCGACGAGTAGCTTCCTCATTGGTCAAACACCGTCGGCCAACAGGATGCCGTGTGTCACTATAGAGCAGGTGTTCTCAAGCTTTCCGGCACCTGCACCCATTTTTAGCGTAACGTAGCACGATCGACCCCTGAGCTTTCCTTATCCACAGAACTAGGGTCTAATAACATAAGAATGAGGTGGAGTTCATCGCTGTACACTAAATTTGCACAGTTGTTCATTTATGTTGGCAAAAGTGAAGGCAGTTGAACTTACATGCAAATGCAACTATATTAAGGCCTACTACCTTGGATAAAATTCGTTCCGACATGCAGCGCTGACTTGTTTGATACTAGGTGTTATTGAGGAAAGCTATAACCTCGGATCTCGTTGCGCTTCAGGTCTGTCTCGGTACTTTGTGTTGTATAGATATAATGCGAGAATGCAATCTCACACAGATAAGTTGTGGCAAATGGGAGAAGGACGGCAATAGCTGTCTACCATGACAAGGTACACATAGTTCGCTTTGTATCAGAAATCACACAGAGACAGTCTGTGAGACGCTTTTTGAAAGTAAGAGTCTTAGGTCATCTTCATGCACTTTGTATGCATGGCCGGATACGTTTCCTGTTCCCACAGTTTCACTAGTAACTCGTGTAAATCATCCACGTTCGAGTTCTGCGCGAGAGGGTGGATCCAAAGGAACAGCCCACAGAGCAGGGCGATCAGTGGCCGGCGAGAAATCTAACAATTCCGACCGAATAAATTGCTTTCCAAAGTGCTCAGCCCAACGCTCTAAATGTTTTGATAAGTTGTGGATAGGCTGTCCACTCTCGTCACGTATAGTTTCACTAACACCAGGTCTCCCGCTACCTGTTTCCCGTATCAGCCAGAATAACTTACGATGATTACCAAGGCCTGCGGCCATTTCCATCTCTGATGCACGAGGAGACCACCAGGATTCGCGGTCTCTCTTCAGGCTAGCACGGAGTATTGCCCGGAGCTCTGTGCAAGTTTTATTGTGTTCGCTTCCAGCCGGGATATGCCGGCGAGCATCTATAAGTTCCAGAGACTGTGAAGAGACCCAATGTCCATGTTGGCGATTAGACATACCACATGAGGATTTTCCTGCTGCTAGTAAGGTCTGGTGAATATGAGACCAGTGAACTTCAATTGCATCCAGTGAGCGTTTATCCAGCTCGCATGACAGCGTACTTCGGTAGGCATTCAGAACAGCTGGCTTCGCCAGTTGGCTGGTGTCAGTGCGCTCACCAAGTCGACGTGGGCGTCCGCCAAAGCACATCCGCAGGTCAACACATACAAGTGCATGGTCGGTTTTCTACACATTTGCTCCAAATCGAACGACAGTTCTGGACGCAGCCTCTCCATCGGTAACTTATCGCAATGTGATCGATTTGCGTCCATAGCTTGTTCGAGGCTGTTGGGCACCAAGTCACCCTCCGGCGGGTGCTGTGTCGGAAATTAGTGCTTGCAAAAAATAAGCGAACATGTTCACATAAATGAAGTAACCCCTCACCGTTATCAAAACGGGAGCCTATACCATGTTGGCCGCCCAGATGCAGATCATCTGTGGATAATTTTCCAACTTGAGCGTTCAGATCCCCAGCCAGCACTATAGTGTACGAGCTTCTTCCTTCATTTGATCATAGAAGTCGTCCTTTACCGAGTCATCGCTACAGTTTGTCAGTGTATAGGCAGCGATAACGAATAGACACCTGTTAGTCCCACGCGACTTCGAAGTTTTGGACGAGCCAGGCAATCGGACCGCACACATCCGGCTACTGATTGGAATCCAATCAACCAGAGTAGCTTCAGCCCGGGGACTCAGGGCAATACCAACACCGGCTTTGCCGGTGCTCGAAGCTGCATCGTTACCGGATAGGCGCAATGAGAAAGTGCTGCCAGTGTCCCCTGAAGGGGATCGCAGAGTGAGTACAGAGCTCGAGTCTTTCAGGCGGGTCTCCGATAAGCAGCTGATATCGATCAAAAGGGTCTCTAATGTTCGGGCAATTGCTGTCTGTTGACCGATCTGTAGTAATGTGCGAACATTGAGGCATATCAATCTGAAGGAGGATCGAGGGCTCCAAATGGAAGCCGATGAATTGGAATGGGCCGCTTGGTTGGACATGGGTCTGTTGACAGGGCAGGAATGACGCTTCGCGTTCACATGTGAGTTGAAATTAATGACAAGCGACTATTGAAGCAAGGTGGGGGAGGGCCGAGAATCGGGGGGTTAAAAACAGGGGGATAAAAGTGCAGCTGGAACGGAACGCTAAGAGTAAAAAAGCGCAAGAAGGGGAATAAGAAGACGGGAAGGCTTGAGCGGTAGCATCCAAACCCCTATCCACCCTGCCTGATGCAGCAGAAAGGGCACAGTTGATTATCTTCTGCGGTGGCCAGAGTATCAGAAATTTGTTTGAAGAGATATTCATTGTATTGCATGGGCAAGATACTGTTAGGTTGCCCAGACCTAGACAGGAGAACGATTAGGGTTCTCAACCAAAGTCTTTGGTTCAAAAACCTATCCGCAAAGCAGCGGATTTGACGCTGGGCTAAAAGGAGTCCGTTTTAAGGAATAAGGCGCCACACTCATTCCAACCCCCAACCTGGAGGACCAGGAGGCTGAGTTTGTCTGGCCTCTAACCATTGACCAATCTGCTATGAGTGACTCTGAAGGTGCAAAAAATGCACCACCCAGTATTTCTCAATGGATCACTGAGGCACACAAACCATCGTACCAGGGTAAGGTCCAGCCTCATTGCGATGGCATCAATGTCGTGTTATATACTCTTTTACGGTTCTCCTTGTTGCCGCATAGCGATGATCAAATGGACTCAAGAGGCGCTTCCTGACTATAGCTGAAGCTCTTGCTATCGGACGCTTTCAGCCGGAATAATGCAAGCAGCAAGCTCTCGTGCAAGCGCTAATTCTGAACTGGTCCTCACGCAGTTAGCATGCCTCAAGGTCACCGGTCCATCGTGACTCGTTTGGATCTGTCATTAATTGCTGTACATAATAAGTTCCCAGTTTAACTGTTTCCTCTATCATCCGACGTCCTTATCCTTGTACATAGCTAGCAATAGTTTTTTTGCAACTTTCAGTTATCTACTTCATAATTATAGCGCTTGACGATATTTATGGAAAAGAAATTTCTTTGCAATTGTTCTCTTCATGTCTGAATGCGCATAATTTATGAGTATAACAATCTCCATAGTACTGTTTCTCAAAGGGTGGTCCGCGGATGCCCAGGGGGTACGTGGGCTACTTTCAGGGAATCCGCGTGATCTCCCAGTGTTATAATTCTATTAGGAAATTTTATGGACGCGCTCAGTCTATGTCACAAATTTATGACAAACATGCCGTGCAAATTTTTAAATCAAACCTAACGGTTTACATTATAGCCTTGTGCATTGCCCATGGAAACATACCCCTTTCAAGGAGGAAGCTTGTTTGGCTGGGAGTTAAAATGTGAGCGAACGAGGCTTTCCTAGTTCAATAAGGTCGTGTGTTAATTTCACCGTGATGCCATGGGCAGTGGCTGGATGGGTCATTCTACGTCCGCTCAAGCTCACATAACCCAGTCTCTGTCCCTCGAGGGGGAACGATAGGTATACCATATGATAGGGCTCAAGTTTGCGATCATTTCAAGTGTTACTATTCTCCGAAAAATAAGCAAACCGGAAGGGAAGCCCGTCTGCGGGATCACTTCAATGGAAGCTCAGAAGGAAAGCGTGGATATTTTTGTGTTTAACGAGTGTGCTCAGCCGAGTATGCGAACTCAAGGGAAACTACATCAACGACGTTACAAAAGGGTGGCACTTTCGTTCACTACAATACTTCTTTCAAAGTACAACCTATCATAGTAACCAAATTCCTGGTGTGTTTTGGACTCTTGTGTTTAATCTTTTATCTCTATTGTTGTAGTTAGACATGTAACATCAACAGGGACCATGAAATGAAGAATGGAATACTGCTAAATGTTTCACAGGGATACTCTTCGTCGAATTCAGATGTAGTAGTAGTTGGGCCAGCCAATGTGCCTTCTGAGCATGCAGCAACGGAGATGTGATGCAACATAAGTCTGTGCCAACCGGATCCTCCGTACCAGTATGTAAGAGGCGGAAATACAACAACATTTATGTTCTTTTTGGATTTATAGAGTCCAACAATTGTGCACAAGTTGACTTGTGTGACAAACATGGTGCTTATTAAAACGCAGCGGCATTTGGGCAAATTCATACGGACTGTAAAGACAGAAAAAAGGACTTACAGCGCATGCGAGATGATATATTGAACACCCAAACGTACATGCTTCACGCATCGCAAACTGTAAAAAAAGCTAGGGAAATATGTTACATCGTTAGTTATAGTAATGCGCTGACAGCAGAACCGAGAAACGTATCCGGCCATGCATACAAAGTGCATGAAGATGACCTAAGACTCTTACTTTCAAAAAGCGTCTCACAGACTGTCTCTGTGTGATTTCTGATACAAAGCGAACTATGTGTACCTTGTCATGGTAGACAGCTATTGCCGTCCTTCTCCCATTTGCCACAACTTATCTGTGTGAGATTGCATTCTCGCATTATATCTATACAACACAAAGTACCGAGACAGACCTGAAGCGCAACGAGATCCGAGGTTATAGCTTTCCTCAATAACACCTAGTATCAAACAAGTCAGCGCTGCATGTCGGAACGAATTTTATCCAAGGTAGTAGGCCTTAATATAGTTGCATTTGCATGTAAGTTCAACTGCCTTCACTTTTGCCAACATAAATGAACAACTGTGCAAATTTAGTGTACAGCGATGAACTCCACCTCATTCTTATGTTATTAGACCCTAGTTCTGTGGATAAGGAAAGCTCAGGGGTCGATCGTGCTACGTTACGCTAAAAATGGGTGCAGGTGCCGAAAAGCTTGAGAACACCTGCTCTATAGTGACACACGGCATCCTGTTGGCCGACGGTGTTTGACCAATGAGGAAGCTACTCGTCGGTGCGTGTGTGCATCTTAGCCAAACTTTGAAACGCACCAACTTGAAACTGCTTATGAACCAAGTTGGAAATGCTTACGAACCAAGTTGAAAATGCTTACGAACCAATTTGCTTCCTCTATTAACAAATTGGTACAAATTGGTTGATTGAACAAGGGTACATTCAAGATGGCTGCATACTGCACTTTCCAAACGGGCTGTGGAAGAGGCAAACACATGTACAACAAAGCACTTGATACAAACAAAAATAAACCTGCGACGACCAGACCGGATACGTCGCCATGTCTATCGATGTGCCTTAATAAGTTACACCACATTATAATTCTTCGGGGCGCAATCGTTAAAATAGTTGGTCCATGCACACATATTGCTTATACTTTTCAAACAGAGGAGGGAACAGTGTCGTGTCTACTTAATTTTTTTTATTTTTATCTGTTCGTTTACACCGCCCACATCACCCATATAAGATCCATTGAAGCAGCCTTATGCTCCAGCCTCTGCTTAGTTGTATCTGTGCACTTCTATCAATTTAATCTAACTAGTGCATGTGCAGACAGACATGTACATAAATCAATACACAAAGGATTTATTCTCGACGGTGTGTGACACGCCTACAAAGACACGACCACGGTAATACAAACGTCTAACGTTAGTAATGGTAGAGAAATGCTACGAGTTAACCAGCACATACTGGTCATATGTGTATATATGTGTAGTATATATGTGGGTGCATGTGCAAGTAATCGTGATGTCTGATTTTGTTAGTATTACTGTGAATTTGTTCGTTTGTTCGTTGAATGTGCCTATATAGGAAGGGATCAGCTACATTATTTGATGTGGTTGCCATTCGCAAGACGTGTAAGATTCGCCGGTATAGCAGACTAGTGACTTTATTTGGTGGTGAGTCGTATCCGCCACGTCATATTGCTGCTAAGCAGAGATTTGCGGCATTTATGGGGAGGACGCTTGCCAGGCGAAAACCTACCACATCCTGGAACACCGCCGCCAACCTATTAGCTGGACAGGGATTAACTCGAACCACACAGTTGTCACCACGTGGAGATTATTCCGCTAGCCAGCCTTCTCCGGTCCCGTTGCTGCTTCGGTCTTCTGCCTATTCGGGATACA